CTCTCTCTCTCTCTCTCTCTCTCTCTCTCTCCTTTTTTTTTTCTTTTTTTTTTTTTGCGGTTGATAAATTTTATAACTTATAAATATTGCAGCCATAGAGAAAGCTATCGAGAAACAAAAGAAAGTTGAAAAAAAGGAGGTCCAAAAAAAAAAATATTCCAACCGTATAAGGTGCGTTGCCGTCACGTGAGAGACACGTCACCGTCGCTTCACGCTGTCGTTTTTTTTCTTTTTCTTTTTCTTTTTCGTTTTCTTTTTTTTTTCTTTTTTCTTTTTTTTCTTTTTTCGGACATAATGTGAATTTCACGCTCGTGCTTTTCGGGATATATTTTTTTTTTGTTATTTCGTCCGGGTTCCGTTAGTTCAGCTTTTAGGCTGTGTGGCCAGCCCACGTGGCCGAATGTAATGTAATGGTACACTATTACACTCGTGAAACTGTTCATAAGCAGAGCACAGCAGAGCACAGCAGAGCAGAGCCAGGTTCGACGACTCATGGGATGAGATGAATGGGACTGTCACAGCTCTGAATTTCTTCTGCGGCAGGTCATTTCCATGATGATACCTGATCAGTGATCATACCTCGAGGTCGTCGCCCTTTCACAAAACGAAAAAAGAGAGAGAGAGAGAGAGAGAGAGAGCAAGAAAAGAAGGAAGAGGAGGGAGAAACAGAACAAAGAAAAGAAGAGGGGAAAAAAACGAAAAACTTCTTTTTGAAAAATGAAGAAAGCGGAAAACTACGCGGGGTTAACAATAACGAGTTATAATTGCACTATGGGCCAAGATGCAGTTTCGAATTCAATTTGCAGATTTGGGCACTGTATACAAGTTAATACAACCCAGCTTTGGGGCCAGGTGCAGGGTGCCGGAAGTGCAGTTGCGAACTGTATCTATCTTGCCCCATAGTGCAATTATAACTCGTTTTTGTCACTCTACTGAAGTTACCCCATTTTTTATTTATTTTTCTGACGGAAAAAAAACAACCACCCATTACGAATCTGTACAGAGAAAACAAAATTGAGAACGGGCGAAAGCCATCAAGACCCTGTTTATGTTCGAAGGGTGAAACTAGCCAGTCAAAAAGAAAAAGAGAGAGAGAGAGAGAGAGAGAGAGAGAGAGAGAGAGAGAGAGAGAGAGAGAGAGAGAGAGAGAGAGAGAGAGGGAAGAACAGGGGACATGGTTGACAAGGTAGAAAATGGGCAACAGGGGTAATGGAGGAGGGGATCTAAGAGGTTAGCACGCGCACACACACACACACACGCACACACACACGCACACACACACGCACACACACACGCACACACACGCACACACACGCACACACACACACACACATACATACATACATACACACACACACATACATACATACATACACACACAGACACAGAGAGAGAGAGAGAGAGAGAGAGAGAGAGAGAGAGAGAGAGAGAGAGAGAGAGAGAGAGGCGTTTGTTTTATTCGTCTTTGGCAAAGAAAAGAGTTTTTTTATTGGGCCCCACTGCCCAAGGCAATACTGTACATGTACAAAGTGCGATATACAGGGGGGAAGCAGGGCGTCCATCCTTACATGCCAGGTGGAGCCTCACCCCCTGTGGAGGGGGTTAAAAAAAAGGGAAGCAAAATGTCACCCAAGAAATGGCTGAAGCTAACCTCCAAGCAAGTTCTTGAGGTTAGCTTCCGCCTTTTCTTGCGTGCCACCAAAGGCGCATCTAAAAAAAGACACTGTCACCAAAGGCACAGAACGGAGACAGAAAGTATAACAAGTTAACAACAACAAAAAATAGAGCAGTTGTGTACCGACAGCCGGACATCTGCCAAAAAAAAAAAAGTTTAACCA